GGGGAGGTGGGTTGTTACTTTGTGAGGAGTGAAAAGGATAACTATTCCATTGTTCTGTACACCTGAAACTAACAATAAAATTTTTTTAAAAAGAAATCAATATGGAGGGTCCTCAAAAATTAAAAATGTAACTACCGTATGATCCAGCAATTTCACTTCTGGGCATTTATCTGAAGAAATTCGAAATCTTAATTTGAAAAGAAATATCCATTCCTATGTTCATTATAGCATTATTTACAATAACAACGATATGGAAGCAACTTAAGTGCCCATTGATAGATGATTGAATAAAGAAGTGGTGATACATATGTACAATGATATATTATTTGGCCATAAAAATAATAAAATATTACCATTTCCAACAACATGGGTGGATGGATCTTCAGGGTATTATGCTAAGTGAAATAAGTCAGACTGAGAAAGACAAATACCATATGATTCCCAATTTCCTGGGAAATTTAGTTTACCCTTAGTGTGAGAATCCTTGGAGATTCTTCCAAGATTTGGTTATCAGAAGGCAGTAGTTCCTCTGAGAAATGGAAATCACGTTGTATTTTATTTTCATTTTTTAGGTTTAGGAGGCCTAGGTAGTCCATCAATACTCCTTTTTAGTTGATTCTGGACTCACTTTCCCAGTCTGGTCTCAACATCAATAGTCATTTTTTCTGTACACTGTATTATAGATTAGGGTGTGGAAAGTTTAGCTACACTATTCACTTTAAAGACAAAACAAGAGAAATGTTTCTTGGTTCTTAGGTATATTTATTTATGTAAAGTTCACTAGAACTTTCTGATTCAAAATTTAAATGACCTGCAAAGAAATTTTCTCTATTATAAACTATGGAACAGGGGGCAGTGTCACGTCCAGCGTGGCAAGGGCAAATGGGACACGAGAGGGGCGGTGCAGATTGAATAAGAACAAGAGACAAAAGTAAGATTTAAGAGCGAGACCAAGGGACTCAGCCTTCAGAGATAGACTGAGCCACCGAATCGGGTCGACGCATGGTTTTTATTGATTATTTTCAAGGAAGTAAACTGCTGTGCTGTGAGTCATTAACCGTGTATACTGGTGCGCCTTAAGGCCTTTTCCAATGACCTTTTCCCAATGTACTCCAGCAAATGCTATGCCTTCGTACTCCACCACATTGCCCCAAGACATAATTACATGTCCTCCCAGGGGAGACAGCTGATATCATTCCATCAGGTCTCAGTCAGGCTGAGACGCCCCCCAAGAGAGCTTTACAGATATCATTCCATCCGGCCTCAGTTTTCCGAGACACTCTCTCGACTAATGGGTCAGAGGCTAATGCAGGGGGGGTGGTCTAAGAATCGGCTGTAAGGCGACAGGGCAGGATTCTACATACTAGAAGAAATAAACATCATATAACAAATATAATCTTGTTTTTTGAGGAACTTAATATATCTCTATATGTTCTGTACAAAATGAGTAATGACAAAATTTCAAATAGTACTGACCAAAGCTAATATTTGAGGTTATTATTGATGGTTTAGTACATTAAATATTGTGGGGTTTTGCCATAGAGTGGCCTATTTTTATCCCAGATTGTTAACAGAAATAGCTGCTTATTAGATGTCTGACATTGTTCTAAGACCACTATCTGTATTAGATCATTTAATCCTCACAACAAACTTTTGAGGTTGGTACTAATAGTATCTCCGTTTTGTAGTGAGGAAGCTAAGATACAGAGGGATTAAATAAGTCGCCCCAAATCACATAGCTAGTAATGGTAGCTATAACCCTTCTGTGTCAAGGGGGCTATACATTTTCCTGTAGTCACACAAACATTGCCTCCACAAAGAGACTTCTGCCATGACAAAGAATGCCCAAAAAGGAACCCCAGAGTAGAGAGCTGGGGGGCTGCCATTCCTCTGGGTGGTGAGGAGCATAGCTTGCCCCCCATCATCCATTCCAGTCTCCCTCTCTTCTGCAGCACCTTCCTCTAATGCAGAATCTGGTCCCTAAAAATTCCATTTCCCAGAATCCTGTGCAACCACGTCCTGGGTGCAAATTTGGTCCCTTTGTTTAGAGGAACCTGTGCAAGACTGGGAAGGAAGAAGTGAGTGAGCAGTGGGCATCCTCCTGCTGTTTAGCCTGTGGCTGCTGCATACATGGCTTTGAGAAATCAAGCTTCTCTATTGCATGCTTTAGCATCCACTCACTTGCTTCATGGGTGTCAGCAGGCAGTGGTGGTGGCAGTGACCTACTCAGTTTGTCATGGCTGGTCACTCATTGTGTGTGAAGAGGCAGGTGCTGAGGTCTGTGCAACAGCCTCCTGGTCTCTGGATTTCAGTGAATGTATGGGGTTCTTGTACTCAACATGTCCCACATGACCTCTGTGAGTGAGACAGAGGCAGTGCCTTGGAAAGCCAGTGTTATTGTGGGACTGTTCCCAGAGGCCCAGCCTAGAGTCTATTTCTCTAGTACCTAATTCTCTGCATTTGATTTCTTTCTGCATAAAATATCTAGAATGATTCTGGTTTTCTACACCTGATTCTGAAAATACACTTGGATTCTCAAGCAAAGACTAGTTACTTTCCTAACAATTGACAAGAAATGCCTTCGGGGAAGGAGTTGACTTCTCAGTATAGATGGTCTAGGCAAGAACGTAGAGTATTCTATTTTCTTGTGTGATATTTGTTATGAAGTGTTATTATTTGTGTAAGGGAATGGAATACTTATGAAGATCAATTAGCAATCTCTTAAAATCCGTTGTGCTTAAAGGCATACACTGAAATGTATCTTGTTCTCTTTAAAGTGTATGTTATTTTACCATTCTCATCAGTCTTTTCTGATTCTTCCCACTCTTGCACCTTAATCCTTTTCTCATTTGTGACACTGTAGTTCCTGGATATTTAATCTGTTCTTGTACTTACTATATTCTAATGAAACTGCCTGTTTTTTTGGATAAATGCTCAAATCTATTAGAAAATTCTTGAGAACACAGGCTGTGTCTTGTTCCCCAGCATATCCCCAAGGCTTAGTGCGATGCGTAAATACACATTTACCTATAACATGAAGGAATATTTCCTGCAGGCATTACTGTATATGGGTACCTGACCATTACAATTAAAGTGAAATTTCTGGTGGCCAAGTGGATAAATTCAGGTAAATATCTCACCTTGCAGAATTGGCATAATGAGACAAATTTCTATCTGGGTGTGAGATTTGTTATATCTATACTCAAAACACTGGGAGCTGTGAAAATATTATGCTCTTTTTAAGGAAATAAAGCAATTACTGTAAAAGATATGTTATGCAATCATCTTAGTAAGCCAAACAGGTCTGTGAGCATACACTGTGAATATAAGGATAGGCAAATTTTGCAAACAAGCGATTTTCCAAGGGATGCAAGCAGTTCCTGCTATTGATGAGGCAGAGATTGTGTTGCTTTGCTCAATCATCTTTGCCAAAGAAATGGAAGCCAAAATGTGCAATCATAGCTGGTCACAAACACATTGATAAGGTATCTTATTTATTTTTTCCCTGTGGGCTTCGAGGTGCTACTGTCTCCCACTTTGCTGTAAATAGCACCAAAGGCCTTGGAGCTGGGTCCTTCAGCTACAAGCCCTGCCTTCTTTGCACCTCATCATCTGGCTTACTGGGCAAGCCAGGTATAGAATACAAACCTCAGGATACTGTAGTTGCAAAAAGCGTAGCTCTGACCTCTCTGCAAAGCAGGGGCTCTGGGCCTGCCTTCAGGAGCCCCTGAACTCTGGTTATTCCTCCAGCCATTGCAGTGGATTTGGACTGTCAAAACATGGTTTTCCCATAGCCTCACATCCATCTAGTGCATATGGTTACTTTTTGGTGAGTGGAAACTGTAAAGGCCCCAAAGAAAATCAAGGTAAAATTCACATTCTTATCTTGGTCTGCACTGAAAGCATGAGTACTGGATCCTAGGTGGGAATAGTTAGCTCAGTCTTCACATATCTGATCTCACCAAGAATGCCCCATTCCTGTCTGGGCACTGGCTTTAAGAAGGACATTGGCGGGTTACATTGTGGTGAGCAGAGAAAGGGCAGGAAATGAAACATGCACAATCACCCACCAGCCGCTCCTGGTCCCCCATACATCAGGCTCCCCTTCAGGCCTGGGACACCATAGCAGGGGCCTCACACTGCCCCCCCCCACATGTCCACCCTCCATCTCCACCCAGTGGCTTCTTCTTATCACTCAGCACTCCCTGATCACCCTGTTAGCCTTCCTTCTTGTCAGAGCACTCTGTTCTTTTTCTGCATATCCCTTATCACAAGTTGTAATAATACATTTATTTCTTTATTTAATGTTTAAAGTCTGTCTCCTCAATTGTAAACCTTAGTTCAGAGAGGACTGTATATCAGGTTTACCTAACACCATGGCATCTTTCCCAGCATGGCAGATTGCTGGATCTTGATAAGTATCTGCTGAATGAACAGTGAATACACGAGTACATGAAGGATGGATGAATAAATTCATGGATGATTCCATGTATTGGATGATGATGGGTGTCCATGCTGAGGAAGAGATGACAGAGAGTGGGACCCATGAGAACTGGGCCCCAGATGGAAAGTGTGATTGGATGTTTTCTTTATGCCTCATTCTTAGACCCAAATAGGGACCAGTTAATGAAAGCTTTAGGAGGAAGAGTTTCACACTAAGATTTCACACATGAAAGAACGATTCAAAAGTGAAATAAACTGCCATAGGAACAATTATATATATATATATATATATATATGTATATATATGCTTCTGGAGGTATTCAAAACCAGCTGGATGATCACTTGCCAAGAGTGGGGAGGAGATTCCTGCTTTAAAAAGGGGCTGGTCCAGAGGGTACCTGTGGATACTTCTTGTTCTCTGATTCTGTGATTTCAGATGCTTTTTCCTCTGTTGAGCTGGAGGTGGCATTATTATCCTTTGCTCTTTTTTCTCTACTGAATATGCTTTTGGCTGATATGTTTCTCTACTCTGCTTCCTTTCTTTCCGGGGACTATAGATGAGGTCTTGTCAGAAAACTTTCTGGACTATAAGAACCGTGGAGTCAATGGTTCTCATCGGGGCCAAATCATCTGGAAGATTGATGCCAGCTCTTACTTTGTGGAACGTGAGTACTTTTCCCATTACTGTTGCACTGGACAAAGCAGAATTCAATTGGTTTGTTCTTTGTACTCTTGTATTGGTTCCACTTAGAAATATGCCATGTAAAAAAGAGACATAGATTTGATGAGATGCTTACAAACAATGTGTAGTAGCTGATGGGTAACAGTCATCCCAAACAGCCCAGAGGCCACTCCTCTAATTGCAAGGAAAAGTTTTATTCATGTTGATTCATCAGCCTCTGGACTCAGGACCCTTGGGCTCACATCCCTTACCTTTCACTCTATGACTTCCCGGGTGCTCTCCAATTTTGTGATTGCTGCCCTTTTGCATCCTATTGTCCGGCTTTGACTTTGCTTGACCCAGTCCTTCAAGGCTCCTTTCTCATGGCTCCAGCATGTTGGGGATATTCCACTTTTCCCTGACTTGTGCTCTGGCTACAATTCCTCTTTGATTCCTGATCTACTGACATTTATAAATGTATAAACTTATCATCATGTATTTTATTGATATATTTTCTAAAATTTTTGCTAGCTTTAAAAATAAATTATTTTCACAGTTACGGGAGGATGTTTTTCATAGGCCCCTATACTGGTGACCCATTGCATGAGGGAGTATGCCTATGGGCCTTGTGTTTGCCAGATGAAGGAATGCATGGATTACCTTTAGTCTACAACTCCTTCCCCTTAACTTAGGTAATGAAAATGCTAAATGCACAAATCCTTTCATATATTACCTGGTTCATAGCAGGTATCCATTTGATATAACACTTCTGAAGGAAATGGAATAGTTTATTGTTTCAACTGTCCAGTTCTTAGAGGAAATGACATATATCCAGGAACCTAAAGTTGTCTATTATCATTTGATTTGTGGTTCAAGAAAAACTATATCCTCTAGCATGCTTTGTTCCCATTTATATTCACTCTTATTTTCATTCATTCACTCAATAAACATTTTGTAAGACCAATTATAGTCCAAAGACTAGAGTTTTAAAGATGAAAGGCCTAATGTCTGCCTAGTATTTGGAAGCTTATGGTGTCTCTTCTCTTAGAACTGACACAAATACCACCCCCTCCACCTTTCTTTCTTTTTGCATTAGCACATGAAGAATGGGTAGACAGTCAGGAAATTTGATACTATCAGATGTAGAGGGGACAGATTTTATGAGATGTGGTTGCTGGCCCTTGACTTTGAGTTAGGCAAAATAAAATTCTCAAGAAGAGATTTTCTTTTCCTTAATGGAAATAGAGCTGACTCTGGATGGTGAACATACAATGCAATATACAGATGATGTATTATAGAAATGTACACTTGAAACCTATATAACTTTACTAACTATTGTCACCCCAATAAATTTAATTAAAAAAGAATATTTCAAAATCAATAAATATTTTAAAACTAAAAAACACCAAAGCAATATTTATCTCCCTGACTCTAACTTTTCTCTTTTCTAATCCATCCTGTACACTGATGCTAGACAAAATTCCTTAAACCCAATTCTGCTACTACTATCTGCCCCAAAGCCTCATGGCTCTGCTTTCTTACTACATCAGCTGAAACCTCTCTGCCCAGCTGCCAAGCCTCAAGAAAACTCACCCTTATCCCTCAGCCCTACTTCTGTAATCTCCCCAGCATGCTCTCTTTTGCCCCAGTCATGCCAATATCTTCCCCTATCTTACAAACAATACCACTGATCATAAAGAACACAGTGGGCTTGATTTGGGTATAAAGACAGGCTCCAGCTAGTGGTGCCTAATAGGACTACCCAAATGCCAATAAGACTTTCCAAATGCCAATAAAAACAAAGATCTGGGCATACAGTCAACTATTATTTCTAATATTCACTGCTAATGAATAAGAGTTGACTGTATGCCCCAATCTACATTAGAAGTTTGATGGGAGAGTCCTTTCTTACTATGTACCTAATTTCTTCTTTTGGGTTCTAACTGAGAAACAGACACAATTTATGGTCCCAAATACAATATCAGCTCAAAATGGTGCAGGCATGAACACAACTTGCAAGTTTGTTTTTTTTTAGGACCAAGAAAACAGGTGTTAAGGATAATATGAAATCTCATGATGGTTTCTTGATTCTGCACATGCCAATGTGTGAAAGGGGAATTAGTGTATAGTGTCATTCTTTTCAAGGCAGTTCTTTAAGATTTCTGTGACACATAGAGCATTTACTGTATATTCATCTCAAATAACAAATCATTTAATATGATTCATCAGCAGTATGAAAACACACCTTAAATATCATTAGAAAGATATTATAATATAATATCAGCTCTGTAAATATATAAAGTATCATCATAATTGAATGAGTATATTTAAATTTGGTTAAGTAGCAATGTCCTATAATAAACAAATGGCTTGCCAAGTCATATTCAAAATAACTAAAAGTTCAGAACCTTAGAAGAATGACATTTTTTTAAATGCTCTGGTGCAGACTTGAGAAGATCTCACTTCACAATATATTTGTTGGACTGGCAATATCTCAGTGCTTTGGAAAAAAATATATGAAAGTGAAATTGAATAGGTTGATATTTACATTTGCATATATATCAAATGCATGATCAATATACTAAGAATGTATTATTCTATACAAATATATGAGTAACTTGTCAAAAAGTAAAAATATATTAACAAAAGGCTTAATTGAGTTTGCAAATAATTAGAATATTAAATTACGACACACATAAATTAAACAAATTAAAATGCTATAATGAATTATAGCTTTAGGAATCTGAATGCATTAAAACTGTATACGAGGTCTGACAATTAAGTTCACAAACTCATCCTAGAAAAAGTGCTACATACTTCATTGCTGAATATCACTATGGTCACCTTTGGAGTACTCAACTTTTGGAGTACTCAACTTGGGAAGATGTGCACCAATGCCAGCACCTAGTCCATCATCCAAAGCAATTTTGGAACTCTTTTTCTGGAATGGCCATCAGAGCTGTCATCGTATTATGCTTTGTGTCCTGAATGTCATCAAAATGTCTTCCTTGCTGTCACGTCCAGCGTGGCAAGGGCAAACGGGTTTCTCTTGAGGGGCGGCGTAGATTGAATAAAGAGACAGAGACAAAAGTAGGATTAAGAGCGAGACCAAGGGACTCAGTCAGAGAAACTGAGCAAGCCCAAGGGACTCAGTCAGAGAATCTGAGCGAGCCCCGAATCGGGTCAGCGCATGGCTTTTATTGAGAAATTAGAAAAGAAGTGAAACTGCTTTACTGCTGTCAATCAAATTAGCATCCATTTGGGGTCTGGGCCTCAAAGCCTTTTTCCTTTAACATATCCCATTATGTTCCAGCAAATGCTATGCTTTCACATATCTGCCTCATAGCCCCAGGACACCTGGTTACTATGTCCTCCCAGAGATTAACTGTTTAGCATTCCAACAGGTCCCAGTCGCACCTTGAGACACTCCTCAGAGGGAGCCTTATCGGCCTCCGGTCATACCGGGGCACTCCCTCAGAGAGATTGCAGCCTCTGGTCATACCGGGGCTTTTCTCTCTTAACTAATGGGAAAAGAGGCTAAATGCGGGGGGGGGGGCATGTTAATAGAAATCGGTTTCAGGCAACACCTTGCAATATTTCTTTTATCATCAGGTAAAGAAAGAAGTCATTGGGGGCCAGATCAGGTGAGTAGGGAGGGTGTTCCAATACAGGTTATTTGTTTACTGGCGAAAAACTCCCTCACAGACAGTGCAGTGTGAGCTGGTGTATTGTCGTGATGCAAGAGCTATGAATTATTGGCAAAAGTTCAGGTCATCCAACTTTTTCATGCAGCCTTTTCAGCACTTCCAAATAGTAAACTTGGTTAACTGTCCAATTGGTACAAATTCATAATGAATAATCCCTTTGATATCAAAAAAGGTTATCAACATTGTTGCAACAAAGTTCGTGAAATTAATTGTCCAACCTCATATACTGGAGGTGCCAAAAAAATGTACACAAGTGGACACTTTGGTCAATGTTGCTCAAGCAATAGTTCGCCATAATCAGAAGTGTCTGGACACTGATGGTAACCACTTTGAGCACCTCTTGTAATTACAAAATTCAAATGTGACTTGGATTCATCTTTTGTTATCAGTATATATTGAGTATTACAATTTTAATACAGCTTTTTTCTTTCTTAAAATGTGCATACATTTTTCTGGCACTTTTTGTGTGTTATATGAATTTATATTTTTAATGTGAAATAACCTGCATTTTCATAAGTGTATGATTAAAATAGTGACAAATTAGCAAATAGGAAGACATTGAATGTACAAAATGTTACTATATGGCTATCCCTCATTAACACATCAAAGAATCAAAGGTCCTCTTGCTCTAATAAAAATGCAGAATCCAAGCCATTATCCAGAAAGTTACAAAAGTTTTGGTTATGAATAAAAAATAAAACTCTTTGCAGTTTCTAGGTAATGATAAACACATTAATCTGATTGGTAAATTATATCTTCTTAAAATTAAAAATAATTTTTTTAAAGATTTTTATTGGGGGAACTGGGGGATGGGAATAGTGCTGGGGAATTGGGGGAAGGGGAACAGACAAGTTGCTATTGTTTTTGTTCTTCAGTCTAGTTGTGGAGGACGTTGCTTCACTGGCCCAAGTTGGCACCATTGCACTCTTCCCGGGTGAGGTAGATCAGTCGCCGGCTTCTGGACGGCCGCTCACTGTGGCTGCTGGCCGCTCACACTGGCTGCTGGCTACACACAGTAGCCCATAGCAACCCACTGCCACTGGCTGCAGCCTACGCCGTCACCGGCGACTCACGGCAGCCCAGCTCCAGGTTGAGCTGTTGTTCAGCATCTAAGCTGTGGAGGGCAGTGTCACTGGCCCTCATATGTGGGATCTGAACCTGGGCCCTCTGGCATCCCAAGCCAGTTCTTAACCATCGCGCCACTCGGCCGGCCCAAAAATAATTTTGTAAACTTTGAACACTGGCCACATTTTAAGTGACACTCTTTTTTTTTTTTTAGCTGAGCCATCCTGCCACC